TAAAAGGATTCAACCTTGACACACCCCTTTCCTGATTTTAAACCATGTTCTGTTTGAACAACTGCTTCTTAGTCTGTATACAGGTTCTGCATGAGCACAATTCAGTGTTCTGGAATGCCCATTCTTTCCCGTGTTATCCATAATTTGTTACGCCCACATTGTCGAATGACTTTGCATAGTCAGTAAAGCACTGGTAAACATCTTTCTAGTTTTCTCTGCTTTCATCCAAGATCTATCTGATATCAGCAATAATATCCCTTATTCCATGTTCTCTATTGAATCCGACTTGAATTTTTGGGGACTTCACTGTCAATTTACTACTGGAATCTTTTTTTTTTTTTAAGAATTTAGGGTTTATTAATCCTCTGGTGAAAAACTCAAACAGTCATCGCAGAATCTTTATTCCTTCTTTTTGCCAGCACCAACATTGGCCTTTGCAGTCCACCCCTGACTTTCTTCATTCTGTTTTTGCTTTCCTTGCACTCTTTTCTTGAGGTTTTCTTCGTCTCATACAGGTCATGTCTTGCAAGTCTGGGTTTGGGTTCATTTTCCTTTGCATAATCCAAGGAATCGTAAATCATGCCAAAGCCAGTAGTTTTGCCACCACCAAAATGGATTCTGAATCCAAACACAAAGATGTTATCTGGTGTCATCTTATACATTTGGGCAAGTTTTTCCCGAATTTCTGTCTTAGGTACTGTTGCCTTCCCAGAGTGAAGGACATCAATGACCATTTGTTTCTGCTGAAGTAGTTGGTTGGTCATGAATTTCCTAATCCAGATAGCTACTGTGTCATTACATGGGAATGATCCTGCTGGCTACAACTTGCCACCTTCTTCACCCCTCGAGCCACCATCATCAGAAAGCCACCGATCCTGACTTGGGACTGTTGGAGGAAGAGGGACCTAGTCCTCCATGAAGCTGACAAGCACAGGAACAACACGTGCAGTTCGAGCACCTGGAGCCCCAGGGTCCAGGGTTGGCAGGGCAGCCCTGCCAAACCCGACTCTCCACCGGGCTCCAGGGCCCTCAGCAACTGGTCACAGCACACACGGCCAGCGAAGAGCATCGGAGCTTTGGCCAGCTATCATGGAGACCGGGAGACCAGGGAACGAAGGATGGCTCAGATATTTGGCAGATGTTTGCAAAGCCCAGGAAGACTCACCATGATGGCCTGGGATCATTTTTGAATTATCTTCAGTGAAATTTTACTTGTATGTGATACTAATGATATTATTCTACAGTTTCTGTATTCTGTTGGATCACCTTTCTTTGAAATGGACACAAATATGGATCTTTTCCATTCAGTTGATCAGGTAGCTGTCTTCCAAATTTCTTGGCAAAGACAGCATTGCATCTGTTGTTGAAACATCTCAAGTGGTATTCTGTCAATTCCTGAAGCGTTGTTTCTCAACTTTTGATCCATCTCCCAAAATGTCGAACCATTGACTAATTCTTTTTGGTACAGTGACTGCATATTTCTTCCATCTTTTTTTGATACTTTCTATGTCATTCAATTTTTTGTCTATAGAATCTTTCAATATTGTAACTTGAGGCTTCAGTTCCTTTAGCTTGCAAAATGGCAAAAGTGTTCTTCCCTTTGGTTTTTCTAATTCCAGGTGTTTACACATTCCATCCTTTGGAATCTTCTGTTCAGCTTTGTTACCTCATCATTTCTTTCTTTGGATTTAGCTATTCCACATTCAAGAGCAGTTTTGGAGTCTCTTTTGACATCCATGTTGGTGTTCACTTTCTTTCCTGATTTTCGAATGACCTTTTGCTTTCTTTATGTGTGATGTCCTTGATGTCATCCCACAGCTCGTCTGAACTTCAGTCATTCGTGTTCGTTGCATCAAATATAATCCTTGAGATGATGTCTAAATTTGAGGCGCCAAAACTATACAGATTCTCAAAATACAACATAAGTTTTCCTCCTTAGAAGGGGAGGTCACAGGGTGGTGCAGACAATTTGTGATGGAGTCCTGGTATGGTGTTAATGCACTGGGCTCCAAGGTTGATGGTTCAAGCTTACCAGCTGCTCCTTGGCAACACTATACAGGGTCTTTATGAGTTGGAACCGTCTTAATGGTGTTTAACACCACCAACAACAAACTAAAGGTTGGCCATTCAAACCCACCCAGGGGGATGGCAGCAGAAAAACCTGACAATCTGTTCCCGAAAAGATCTCAGCTAAGAAAACCCTATAGAACAGTTCTACTCTTGTCACATTGGTGGCATGACTTGCCACGAGTCATAATCAACTTGATGCTTGGATTTTCGTATTTGAATTCAGTTTGGAAACTGTTTCATGATTTTGCATTCAAATCAATTTGCTGAATTTACTGCCAGTTGATAAGTAAAGAGGCAGGCTCACTTGTGATCACTCTTGCTGATGTGATTATCTGTGCTAACTGAATGCTTTGTTCTTGCTCCAGAGATGCCACTGGGAAGGAAGTGTACCGTCTTGCTCTTCAAACCAGGGAGCAACACATCCGGAGAGACAAGGCCACCAGCAACATCTGTACAGCCCAGGTAAATCATATACTTGGCCTGGCCACTGAATGCCTGACAATGCACAGTTCCTCCTCCAGCCCCTCATCCATGCTTTCGACATGTACTGAGCAGTAAATGCATGCCAGAAATAGCGAGGTCTCATGGTGGAGAAGTCTGAAGATCTTGTCAGAACAGACTGCAACGTCTTTTACCGATGTTCTGTGTGCGCACACGTGTCACCTGTATGTTCTCATCCCCAGCAATGTTGTAAAGTCAAAGAAAGAAAAATGTTATCACTTCAGATTTTCCCCTAGATCTTGGATCAGCCAAACTCAGATAAAAGAAAAAGAGGTGATTTTATGACTCTTAATGAAAAAAAAAAAAATTTTTGTTTAATTTTTTTTTCCCAAAAATTGCCATTTTAACCAATAATCAAAGGAGCTCAGGTGGCACAGTGGCTAAAATGCTCAACCACTAACCAAAAGATCAGCAGTTCGAACCCACCAGCTCCTCCAAGGGAAAAAGATGTGGCCAATTGTTTCCTGCTATGAGTTGGAATTGATTCAGTGGCAATGGGCTTTCTGAAATTTTTGTCAGATAATCATAGCTGACATATAAGCATACAGTTCAGTGACCTGAATTGCATTCAGCATGTGGGGGTACAACCATCACCACTATAGATTTCCAGAAGCTATTCACCACTCCAATCAGAATCTACTTCTCAAGCAAACACTCACTTCCCCAACCCTTGTCCCTGGTACCAGAAAATGAGTTGCCATCTAGTGGAGTCTGGCTCATCGTGACCCTCAAGGACAGGGTAGAACTGTCCCAAAGGGTTTCCAAGGTTGTAAATGTTTATGGAAACAGTTTCCACAGCTGGTGGGATTGAACTGATGACCTTTTGGTAAGTAGCCAGTGCTTTAACCACTGTGCAACCTTATGAGTTGGAATCCACAGCATCAGCTTTTGTTGCTGATGTTCCTGCCATCATAGTGTGTCTCAGTGCAGGACCTCCCTTACTAAACCTCTCTGGGGCTCCCCTTTATCTCAGCTAAAGTATCCCTTAGCGGAGAAGCCAATGCCGTACCTCTCCATTTTCTGCCACAGTCGGTAGAACACACACTTCCCTGCATCTTTCTGAGACCTGAATTCAATGGTCAGGAGAGATACCTTTACCTTGCCTTCAGTAGGGAATATACCAGTTGGTTCTAGTTTTCTGTCTAATGTATCTACTGCTGACTTGCTTTGTTTTGATGTCCTGCATCCTACATTTTCATCAGTGCCAATCATTGCTCACAGATTCTCCATTCAGTGTCTAGTGCTTTATGTAAGTTCCCAGGAGAATTATCCAGAAAACCTTGTAAAAGCCGGAAAATGTGTTAGGTAGAAACCTGACAGAAAAGGGAAACTCAAATATTTTCCACTATTATGGGGTGAATGAAAACTCGTAAGAGCCAGAAAAACATGCCAGTCTGTCAGGTTTCAGCATTCACAAGTTTCATTGTGTTCCCTGAGTCCTTGTGTATTTCAAAATCTCATGTTGCTTTTATCCTTGAAAAACTGCCTATGTATCAGGTTCTTGGATTTTATTCTCTTTTCCTGAGGGCTGTATTGCTTGACTGTCTTCCAACATTAAAGTTTGATTTTCAGTGTCATCTTCTCCCGCTATGTGTGACGTCCAAGGACTCCAAGGTATCTTGGCTGCTGTGTTTCCCCTCAGGAAACCAGGCAGGTTGCAGTTGGCTTCCACCTTCCATACAGAATGATAGAGATCTGATACTCTTGTCTGTTTTCCATTTTAACTTCCCAAGTCAAGTCTCTGTGTTCTTGTAGGCCCTCTTGGCGAATGTGGCTGCCATGTTTGCAATCTACCATGGTTCCAGCGGGCTGACGCACATTGCACAGAGGGTGCATAATGCTACTCTAATTTTGTCTGAAGGTGAGTCAGCTGTCTGTTTTAGAATATAAATGTGAGAAGTAAACTTAGAAACTCACGGCGTGTCCAATACACTGTGCAAAATTCATAGTTCATTCCGAAACTTGGGAAAACATTTCAACATGGAGGCTAGACTGAGGGTTAGTATTGATAATAGAAAGAGCTCTTCCTTATTCTCTCCCTAGCCCCCACCCAAGAAGGATGACCACTCTGATAGAAGAAATAGGGAACAACCATTAAAAGCATTTGTAAAGTATAACTGATTTGTTTAAGGAGGGGTAAAAATCAAATCATGCAAATTGCCAGTTACAGCTCCAAAAGACAAACACAAAGGTGTTCATTACATATTAAAGTTATTGTATTACACACATTCACACAGACACTACTCTAAATCCTGTTGCCATCTACTTGCTTCGGACTCACAGTGACCCCAGGGTTTCCGAGGCTGTCAATCTTTACCGAAGCAGATTGCTTTAATTTTCTCCCATGCAGTGACTGTTGGGTTTGAACCTTTGTAGTTAGCAGCCCAAAGCTTAACCCACAGAACCACCAGTACTCATGACACCGCTTCTGGTGGAGGAGGTGGAGGTTGTAAGCTGTGGAGTCAGTTTCCTCTCATAGCGACCCTGTATAGGGTTTCTGAAGCTATGATTCTTTATGGGAGCAGAAAGCCTCAACTTTCTCTTGCAGGGTGGCTGGGAGATTCAAACTGCTGAGCTTGTGGTTAGCAGCCCAACTCATATCACTACACTGCGAAGGTTCCTATTACAGCACTTCTAGAAGTACGTAGGACTCCTGGTGTGGTGCTGTAGGATCAGCACTGGACTGCCAGCCACAAGGTCAGCTGCTCCTCAGAAACCCAAAACAGGGTCTCTATGAGTCGGAATCAACTCGACAATACTTAACAACAACAGAGGGACACAATCAAAATATACATAGCAGTTATTTTTGGATACCCGCTATCACCATAGCGTATCTGTGACTTTTAAATTTTACATACAAATTTCATTTTCTGTAGCCTAGGGGCCCTGGTGTGGTGCCGTAGGTTAAATACTGGACTGGTAATTACAGGATTGGGGGCGCAAAACCACCAGGTTCTGTCGGAAACCGTATACAAGGGTCGCTATGCATCGGAACCGACTCGACGGCACACCGCCACCACAATAATTCTACTACTTCCCACTGCCACCGAGTCAATTCTGACTTATAGAGACCCTGTATAGGGTTTCTGAGACTACGATTCTGAGGCCTCATCTTTCTCAGAGTGGCTGTCATTTGAATTGCTGATCTTGGGGTTAGCAGTCCAGTGCTTATCCTACAGCGCCACCATGACTCTGTTGCCTTGTAATGAGTATACGTACACTTCTTTTTGTTTTTTAAAGAAGTGGGCCAGAACCAGAATCTGAGCAGACTTTCTTCTTTGTTTCTGTGAAATATCAATGACAGAGCAGCGGGAGGTGCCTGTAGAGATTTGTGGCTCTGCTGTCTTGTCTAGGTCTCAAGCGTGCGGGGCATCAACTTCAGCATGACAAGTTCTTCGACACCTTGAAGGTCCAGTGTGGCTGCTCAGTGAAGGAGGTCCTGGATAGAGCTGCACAGCGGAAAATCAATTTTCGGCTCTTCCAGGATGGCATGGTAAATCAAATTCCCACTGTTTTTACAAATTCTCTAAATGTTCATGACTTTTCTCGTCAAAAGGCTCCCCATTTATGTTTTGGAAAACATATCAATATTGGAATTTTAAGTACAGTCTACTTTTGTCGATATTTTTCATTTCTAATTTGAAGCACTGTGTTGATCAGTTTCCTCTAAGGCGTTGTGTTTTCTTATGGGACTCTAAGGCACATATTTTGCTCATAAGACTTTGGTTAGTGATATTGTAAAGTGAATTAAGGAAAGAAAAAGATAAATCTATCTAATACCACAAAGGTATGCCTTGCAGCCTTTGGCCAGTCCAACTGCCATTGACTTGCAAAACTAAGCCATGTGAAGTCTAGAATTAGTCCAGCCTGCTTTCCCCGAAGACCAACTTGGATGTAATGGTACCCTTATATTTGGGACAGACTAGAAGTTTTTGTCTTCACCTTCTCACCCTTTGATCTTGCTTGGAGTTAGTTTCTCCTGTGGTCTTAAGAGTCGAGGACTGATGTTTTCTCTGTTGTCATTTACATAGCTTGGTGTTTCTCTTGATGAGACTGTCAATGAAAAAGATCTGGATGACGTACTGTGGGCCTTTGGCTGTGAGTCATCTGCAGTAAGTAAAATGAAACCATGGATTCCCCGCAAATGAGATTCCTCAGGACTATCTGAGGTAGTGTCGAAGATGACTGCTTCTTGCGGACTTGAGTGTGAAGAGAAGGGGTCCTTCCTTTTAGAACTGTGAGCTGAATTTAACGGCTTCATTGGTTCCATGCATTTGACTCATCTTGATGGAGTGGTACCCACCCTTAGCTCTAGAAGGTTAGATTGTCAGGCTGGGACAGAATGAGGAGCAAGCCATGAATTTCATTGGAACTGGTCTTCAAGAAACAAGACCATGTCCCGTGAGGATCTTTCCTTGAGTAGCGTCTCCTTGTAGCTTATTTGACAGCCCTGTAAGATCTAATTGTACTGAAACTGTGGCAAAGGTCCACTGAACTTAAAGATGGTGCTCTGGAGAATTTTCACAATTCCTAATTCCTGACACCCATTGCTACCCCAGAGAAGATGCCCAGTTGGGTGATTTCCAGTGCAGTCCAGAATGTAGGTTTGGTTCTGTGACCGGAAGCCTCGATGTCTCCACAGGGCTCCAGTTTTGGTTCCTACCCTTGAGTTTCTGTGGTTTCTCCATGCAGGAACTGGTTGCCGAAAGCATGGGAGAAGAGCACAGAGGTATTCCAGGAACTGCATTCAAGAGAACTAGCCCGTTCCTCACACACCAAGTGTTTAACAGGTTTGTGTGGCCCCTGTGTTTTGAGCTGTGGCGATAAGCTGGGAGCGTAGCAGGGAACTGCTTCCGATTTTGACTATGATGTGACCATTGTTTGTTGCTGCGGAGTTCGCTCTGGCGCGTGGTGATATTGCATAGAAGAGAGCGAGATGCCCGGTCCTGTGTCCATATCCTGGTTGTTTGCGTCACAATCCCTCTTATTGAGAGTTTCCCATGTTTCTTCTGATTCTTCAGTTTACAGACCATGGTGTTCTTTTCTCGTCATTAAGCTTTCCTGAGGAAGTCACCACCTTCACTTCTAAGGAGTATTCAGTTTGTGTTTCTTATCAGGTTGATTTGTCCCTGTTTTCAGTCAGTCATTTCTGGCAACACCGCAGTTTGAGCACATTGCTCCTCTGTCTTCCCTTTCTAGTGTCCAGCTGCCACATGCATATGAGGTGATGGAGAAGGCCATGGATTAGGGCAGGCGCACTTTAGCCATCAAATCAACCACAGTTGTGAAGGTCCCCTTCCTACTTGGACACTGCCAGAAAGTGGGAGTGTGGGTCTATACAGGCAGAACAGTCCATCCCCATGACCTTGAGCAGCTGGTCTTCCCAACCTGAACCTCATGCCCACCGGCAGCTTCCTCTCAGGGCCTTCTCTGAGGCTCACAGAGGCTCCATGCTTTCCCCTCAAAGCAGTGCCACAGGTTACCCATGATTCCATTTGATCTGCATCTTGAAGGTAAAGTTCAGGCAGCTGTGTACCGACTCCTCTAATTCTACCGACCTCTGTGCTTGCTGTTCACAGCTATCACTCAGAAACAAACATCGTTCGGTACATGAAGAAATTGGAAAACAAAGACATTTCCCTGGTTCACAGCATGATTCCACTGGTAATTATTACCTTCCTTTCCCCTTCCAAGCCCACCCTGATCCCCACCCTGGCTGTGCTGCAGGAGGGCTGCAAGGGTGGCTGTGGGAGGTTCTGAGGCCCGATGGCTGGCCTGTAGGGGCTCACTAACACTGTGCATTTTGGATGTGCTTCTTAAAGGGCTCGTGCACGATGAAGCTCAACAGTTCCTCTGAACTCACAGTAAGTAAGCCGCCTCCATGACACGTGGTTTAGGGGGCTTGCTCTAGTTGTACACACACACAGAGAAAATGAGCTGAAGCTACAGGCTCTGCAATTTAGCAGCTATTTTCATAATCCTTTACACTGCTATGTAACCATCTTGGGGAAACCCCTAGTTCTCAAAGTTTCACCGTCTAAATTTCTGGGTGAATTTATGTTGTAATATATTGTGGTTCCTATATATTGTTTCTGAAGCAATAAATCTTTGCGGAGCAGTCCAGTGTTTATACTGCAGAGCCACTATGCTTCCCCAATATTTGTTGTTGTTAAGTGCCATTGAGTAGGTTCCAAATCATAGCGACCTTGTATGGGATTTCCGAGGAACAGCTGATGGGTTGGACTGCAATTAGCAGTCCAGTGCTTATCCTTCAGTGCCACACCAGGACTCCCCAATATAGTAAACTACTGATGTCTTCTTTCTTTAATAAAAACACAACAAACCCTGCTATTTTTAAAACTTTTATTAAATTAGTTCATAGCTCTTAAGCTCAGGTAGAATTAAGAACCTTACTCCTTCTTCCTAGAAAGCTCCGCACTGTGCCCGAAGGAGAAAGATTTGAGGTTGTTTACTTTCTTGTGTCAACAGCTTTGTGTCACCTGTTGTGGTTGGCAAGAATCTGGACTCGGCCAAGATCCATTTAGTAAAGTTAGCTTGTTCCTTTTATTTCTTGGGATTATGATGATGTGACAGATCACGTCAGGCCACCGCCGTCGTTTTAGGTAGTGAAAGGAAGGATTGTCCTATCTCCTCTTAGTTTTACTTCTGTGTCTTTAGTTTTATGCTGTGCAAGGGTTTGAATAAAGCATACCTGAGACAAGTCATCAGGTCTCATGGATACAAATCTTTTAGACCTTTTTGTTTCTGAAAAGATTAGAACAGCTGATAGATGTTTTTATATGCTTCCTTTCCACATCTCTGTGTCCTGCTTGTAAAATGAAGACAGGAATAGCACCTACCTGATAAGACTGTGATGAGACTTACAGTGCTTATTACAGTGTAGTGCACCTACTAGGCACTTTTTAGTGACCTATTGTTTCTATCCTCAGCATTATAGTTGTTCTAAATATAGTGTTGTCATTAAGTGCTGTCGAGTCAGTTCCGACCCATAGCCACCTTGTATAGGGTTTCCGAGGAGCAGCTAGTGAGTTTGAACCTCTGACCTTGTAATTCAAGCTGACCTTTCAATTCAGTGCCTATTCTACAGCACCACACCAGGACTCCAAAAATAGTATTATGGATATGTTTATATACAGCGCCCTGGTTCCACTGCGGTTCCAGGCTGGTGGTTCAAACTCATCAGTCGCTCTGAGGGAGAAAGATGAGGTTGTAAAGATTCACTGTCTGGAAACCCTATAAAGAAAGAGTTGCTATGAGTTGGAATCAACTCAGTGGCAATGAGTGTATGTACGTGTGTGCTTGTGTGTATTTTTACCACCTTCTTCTTGCTCTTCAGCCCATCACATGGAAAGAATTTGCAAATATCCACCCCTTCGTGCCTTTGGACCAAACTCAAGGATACCAGCAGCTATTCCGAGAGCTTGAGAAGGATTTGTGTGAACTTACAGGCTATGACCAAATCTCTTTCCAGCCTAACAGGTATGGGGAATATCAGCGATCTTTTGTTATATAACAACCCACTCTTGAACTTAGAAGTTTAAAGCAACAATTTACTAGTCCCATGATTCTGTGCGCTGACTAGACTGTTGAATTTCACACGGTGTTGGCTGGCATGGGGGAGTGGCTAGAAGCTTTAAAGGGGCCTCATTCACATGGCTGGCAAGTTGGTGCTGAGCTGTTGGCTAGGGTCTCAGTTCTTCCCCCACATGGGTCATGAGCTTCTCACAGCATGGCATCTGGGTTCAAAACTGGGAGTTCTGAGATGAAGGATGTGGGAGCTGCAGATCTCTTAAGGCCTACCCTCTGAGGTTTCACAGCATCTCCTTTCAGTGTTCTGTCTGAAGGCCAACCCACCCCCACACCCCCCCTCCCCATGCAGTGGGGGAGGGAGCAGTACAAAGGGTGAATGAGCCTTCTAGCTACTTTACCAATCAGTGACCTAGCATATCAGACTCAATCACACAGGTTAACTGCTAACGAGCAGCAAAGACTCAATCAAATAGAGCCAAGAGAACTTGGATCCTGTTCTGGTTCTGTCCTTTAGCTTTGAAAGGTCCTTTCCCCAATTCTGACCTCCGTTTCTTTGTCTGCAAAATTCAAAGTCTGAAGAACCGGTGCTTTTAAAAGCATAGGGTTCTATCAGAACCACAGAGGCACTTGTTAAAAATGCACATTCCTGGGCCCTACTCCAAGCTGCTGATCACCAGAAGCAAACCAAGTGGTTCTGAGAGGCAGCAAGTTCCGACTCATAGCAACCCTGCGTAGGGTTTCCAAGCCTGTGAATCTTTGCAGGAGCAGAGAGCCTCATGTTTCTCTTTAGGAGTGACTGGTACATTTGAACTGCTGACCTTGTGGTTAGCAGCTCAGCTTGTGATCCATTGTTAATATTGTTGAGTGCTGTTGAGTCAGTTCCAACTCATAATCCAGTACGCTACTAGATGAATTAAGTACCAGCACGTGATCTGTATGTGAGATCCTGGGGTAGGATATGTTCAGGAGTGACATCTGCCCTTAGATTCTCTCGTTCCTATTATTCAAAGTTTAGCCGACCCCCAGCAGCTCAGGGAAGACAGACTTTCTATTTAAATTATCAGACAGCAAATATATTTTAAAACAGATTTTTATTGCTTTGACATTTTATGAGCTGGCTTATTTGTGCGTGCAATGGTACATATGTAAACCCTACGGATCTTGCACCAGGGTGGGTTTCTGTTTTGTTTGCTCTTCTGTGTATTGTGATTTGTATTCAAATTAATAGAGCAGAGAGGTTTTCCATTCAACAACCCACACACGTTTTGATCCATGATATTGACTAGAGTGTAGTCCCCACATGTAACAACACTCCTCCCTGTCTCCTCCCCAATTCCCTCTGTCCTTCTTTCCTTTCCGGCCTTCTGAGTGCTACCCCTGGGCGAACGCTGCCTTTTGATCTTGTGTGATTGTTTGTTCTAAGAAGTGCAGACTTCTCTGGTGTTCTTGTTGACTTTGTGGGAAACGGGGACATTTGTCTTCTCGACTTTCTGATAAGAGTGCTGTCCAGACATGAATCAAATTGGAGTCCAACACAATCAAACCCGATCTCCTGTTGGCAGCACACATTGTAAAAACAGCCCACTATAAAATACATGGAGCTTTGGTGTGGCGCTTTAGGATAAGCACTGGACTGCTAACCACAAGGTCAGCGGTTCATACCCACCAGCCACTCCTCCAAAACCCTACAGGGTCACTATGAGTCGGAACTAATTCGATGGCACTTAACAACAACACCATAAAATACAAGCCCATTAGGAAAAACACACATGACAAATGAAAGGATTTTCAATAACAGCCTCTCAAAGTCTCACTTCATACATAGGGAAGAACTGACCTCCTGAAAGTCAGGCCTTCAGGAAAACACCATCATTTCGCACTTGTTGGCTTGCTTGCTTGTTTTTGTTTGTTTTCTTTAATATAGAAAGAATCTGAAAGCAAATTCTTAAGCCAAAGCAATAGTATATTTATTAAATATTGAAAATGTAGAAAGCTTTCCCTCTATCCCTATGATGGACTATGGCCACATCTGCAGTGTCGTGGTGGTGGTGATGGTGATGTGCCGTGGAGTCGGTTCCGATGCATAGAGACCCTGTACAGTGTCTCCGAGTCTGTGCATCTTTATGGCATCCGAAAGCCTCATCTTTCTTTTACGGAATCGCTGGTAGTTTCGAACTGCTGACCTTGAGGTGACCACTACACTGCCAAAGCACCTTGCAGTGCCCTTTTAGATAGCAACTTCTCAAGACCCTTGCAGTAGATCAAGGTCCTGGCCAGACAGAGAGGTAGAAGGCTAACTGAGAAGAAGGAGGTTTTCCTTCTGTTGAAGCAGTGGCTTGCCACCTCAGCTGGAAATGAGAATCACACAGTGTGTTTACAACACTCTGGAATGGCTACATGCACAGCCCCAGATTAAATCATCTCAAAGGGAAAGAGGGTGAGGGGAGGGACCCATGAACAAGGAGTTTTGTTTTAAAGCTCCCTGAAGGATTCCAGTTTGCAATCAAGGGTGCAAACCACGGTCTGAGAATGTTTACCTTTTAGTATATCTGAGTCTCTTTCTCCATCCTCCCCTCCTCCTTCATGTAATTGGCAGCAGCTTTCATACCCAACCCCTGTCTTGCTGAGGGTTAAGAGTTCTTATCCTGGTAGTGATGTCTTCTCCAGCTTCAGAGAGCTACAAATGTAAGACCCATCTCTAAGAGCTGGACAAAGAATAGGAAGACCAGAGAAAAATTGATGCATTTGAATTAATCGTGTAAGAGAAGAATATAGGAAGTCCCCTGGACTGCCAGCAGACTGAACAAATCTTTTCTGGAAGAAGTATGGCCAGATGGTTCCTTAGACAGTCGCATATACTTTGGACATGTTGTCAGGAGGGAGCAGTCCTTGGAGAAGGGCATTATCTTTGGTAAAGTGGACGGTCAGCAAAAAAGAGGAAGACCCTCAGCAAGATGGATTGACTCAGTGGCAGCACTAATGGACATAACAATTGTGGGGACAGCGCAGGACTGGGCAGTGTTTCATTCTATGGTACATACAGTCTCTAAGTTAGAACTGACTCAGCGACACCTAACAACGGCAACGAACCCTATGAAAGGTGCCCTATGGGTGCTGTGAGTTAGGTATTGGACAGCTAACTGAAAGGTCTGTGATTCAAACCCATCAGCCGTTCCTGGGGAGAAAGATGATGAGGCTGTACACTCCCACTATGGATTACAATCCCAGAAGTCCTTCATGGGGCAGGTGTGAATCAGAATCAGCTCTATTGCAGCAATCAACTCCAAGGCATCCAACAACAACGGGTGTTCAGAAGTGTAGGCTCCACTTGTTTTTGTATTTTCTGGGAACATTTAAGGTCCAAGGGTATTTTTACCACCACTTGCTGTAGAGTTGATTTCTTCTCATGGCTATCTCATGTATGTCCGAGTAGAATTCTATGTGCCCAATAGGATTGTCATTGGCAAATTTTTGCCACTCCCAAGTAGGTGCCTTTGAGTAGATTCAAACCTCCAACCTTCTGCTTAGCAGCCGAGTGCATTAACTCTTGCACCACCTGGCACTCCAAGCATATTTATATGGCCTAAAGTTTAACGTCAAGAAGTGCGCTCCATGGTCTCCTGTTTGTTTGCAGAACCTCGGAACCCAGAGAGCATTTTCAACTTGGTGGAGAAAAGAGTCTAATATATAATTACCTTTTTATTGTCCACTGTGCTCAGCACGACTCATTTCAACTTGTTCCCCATCACACTTTGACATGCTGAAAATCATATAACAGCTCACAAACACCCCCTAGGAATGTCCAGGCTAAAGACTGAGGTCTAGTTTACCCAGACAGAAACAATAATTAACACCGCCTATGAACATCTCAAAGAGCTCTGGTCATGTAGTGGTTATGAGTTCGGCTGCTAACCTCATGGTCAGCAGTTCGAAACTATTAGCCTTTCCATGGGAGAAAGATGAGGCTTTCTGCACCCATAAAGATTTATAGCCCCGGAAACCCTATACAGGGTCATTATGAGTCAGAACAGACTCCACCGCACACAACCACCACCACGAACATCTAAAATGGAAAACAAACGTGAATCACTATTAGCTCGCTTGACTTTTGACATAGAGGAAAATGGTTTTTGTCTTTCAAAACGTTTTGTCTTTCAGAACTGCAGACTAGAATGTAGATGGGGTTGAGTCTCTTCCTAGGGAGACTCTTAAATTAATGTGTGAGCAGGGGGTCACTAATGGCTTCAAACTTCCTTGTGCATGAGGATCACTTGGAGGGCCTGTAATATTGTAAAGCCCCAGATTTTGTAAGTCTGGGTTGCAGCCCATCAACTCATGTCTGGACAGAACTGTTATCAGAAAATGAGATGGTCCACATCTCCATTTACTCCTACAAGGTGCGGCTGATGCTACTGACCTGGAGACCGCACTTTGAGAACGGCCGGGGTGCAGGCATCTCACACCTTCCTGAGAGTTAGAATTACCTGGGGAGCTGTTGAAGACTCCCTGTGCCTCCCAAGGAGTAGTCAGGGAGTCGGGAGAGCAGTGGCCAGGTTTCTTAATTTTTTTACAAACTCCTTAGAGGATCCTAATGTGCAGCCATTGGGTTGGGGAGTAAGTGGATCTGGGGGATACCATCAAAGGAGACTGGTTAGGTGGTGAGCATCTTCCACTGGAGCAAGTCTTGAAACTGGCCTTTGATGGTCAAGCCACTACACACGGGGCAGCAAGACCCATCTGGAATGTGAAGCACAAATACATTAAGATCAATTAAGAGATAGAATCAACAGAAAGTGATATTCCAAACATTACGCAAGAGTCCTAAGGAGCTCTGGTAGCGTAATGGTTACATATCTGGCTGCGAACCTCAAGGTCAGCAGTTCAAAACTACCAGCTGTTCCGCAGGAGAAAGATGAGGCTTTCTGTTCCCGTAACGATTTACAGCCTTG